TAATTCAGTATCTGTCTCTTCAAATCCCAAATGTTTATAGTCCTCTTTGGATCTGTCCATTAAGTGTTTATATGGAAACCAATGTAGATTTTTGTCTAGTTCTTTCAAGTTTTCTAATGACTTTAATTCATAAGAGCCTCTCATTGTTTTATTCACGATGTCTCGATATCTCAACCATTTAGGTACTTCTCGCCATCTTCCAAAAAAGGCTTCTTGGGGTGACACCCATAAAGGTAGTTTTCTGTAGAATTTTTCCTTACATTGCATCCAAATCCTTATTAATGATCTTCTTATATAGTGATGTTCAAACTCTTTATGCACTTTTGTCTTATTATACCACATATATGCGTGCCAACCATATCTCAAATTAAATCCTTCTAAAGCAAGTATTCTGTCATTTTCTAATTACAAAAAGGAATTACAAAAAGGATTACAAAAAGGAACGCTGACTTGTTTGAAAATAACTATGAAATGACATGGAAGAAAATCAAAGAAGATTTTAATAAGTGGACAAATCTAAATCTATCTTTATTGGGGAAAACAGAAACAATTAAAATGATGGCATTACCAAAGATGAACTTTTTGTTTCAAAACATTCCGGTAATCTTAAATGACAAACCATTTGTACAATGGAAAAAAGACCTTATAAAATTCACCTGGCCAGGCAGAAAACCTAGAATAAAGTGGAAAACATTGACTGATAAGAAGAAAAATGGAGGCTGTAATTTACCAGATTTAAAGACTTATTATTATGCAAATGCATTAACTTGGATCACAGATTGGGCAAAATTAGAAAACAGGGATATCTTTATTGGACAGCCAATAGATGATGATGATGATATTTATCATTTTTATTGGTTTTTTTTATTAATTTTAATTGTTAAGAGAGCCAGCATGAGGCAATGGTTTTAGCGTTGGACTGGGACTCTGAAGTCCAGGGTTCGAATCCCAGCTGAGCCATGGACACCCCCTGGCTGACCTTGGGCAAGTCACACTCTCTCAGCCTCAGAGGATGGCAACGGCAAACTCCCTCTGAAGAAACTTGCCAAGCAAACCCCATGATCGGTGCATGTTAGGGTCTCCCATAAGATGGAAATGACTTGAAGGCAGGCAACAAGGATTAGTATTATATATAAATGCATTATTATACAATTATCTTTTTATCATATTATATTTTTAAACTTTTTATATACAGTCAGCCCTCCGTAACCACATTCCTTATCTAGGAATCCAAGCATCCATGGCTCAAATATATATACATATATGTGTGTGTGTATCCCAAAAACAAACCTAGATTTTGCTATAAGGGACACCATTTGATTATACTCTTGTATATAATGGGACTTTGGCATCCATGGATTTTGTTATCGATGGGGGAGTCTTGGAACCAAAGCCCAGTAGATAACAAGGGAAGCATATTTAGGGGTAGCCTTTTTTAGCAAAGTACAACCACATCCAAAATCCACAAAGCAATTTTTCCTTTCTCCTGTATGGTTTTCAACACTGATGAGGAACCCAGTGGAGCTCCAAAAGCTTGCAACATGTCTTTTGTGCATTTTTGTGCTCTGTCCTGGGCCCAGGGCTATTCCATATACCCATATTTTCTGGCGCATAAGACGACTGG